CGCCCCATGCCCCGGGTGGGCTCTTAACTAGGGATGTACGCACCGGTATTATTACCCGTAAGTTACGGTAAAATACCGGTAAAATACGGTAAAATACCCAGACCCCGGTAAAATTGGTAAAATTGGTAAAATTGGTAATTTTTGAAACAAACAACACCAATCACTTCATAAACGCTCGGACGCTCGCAGAAGTTATATAAATACGTAAATTTGATTCTTCGCGCGCTCTGCCGGTCCTATTATCAACCCCTCCCCCCTCACGCCGACGCCGACGCATAGCTTCGGTCACAACTCTGAGGGGAATACCTCGTCGAGCCTAGCGAGCGTGTGCCTGAGCCGACGCTTGGCGGAGGGCGATCCGCTTGTTTTCTATTTCTGTGCGTTCGTGTTGAATTGTGGTCTTTGGACTGAAAGGATAGTGAAATATTATCGAACTCTATTCTATTGGCAGGTAAGTCCGTCACCCTCCCTCCGCCTGTGTTTTGCAGAACCGAAATGATATAGAAATATAGTCAGAAGAGTGAGGTTATGTGGCGCCCCTCCTGCAGCGCTGTCGTTGTTTACCTATGTTGTGCAATCTTCATTACAGGTTAATGTCGCATCATGCCACCTCCGAAGGACTCTTTGGTGCTAGAATGCTTTACTTTTGGGAATTATCCTGTCGGAAACGACCCGGTACCCAAACCTAGAGCTGAATGCAAATTCTGTAGAAAGAAGTATGCGCCGAATACAACGCGTCAAAAGCAACACATTCTTAACGAATGCAAACTAGTACCCCAGTCTGTGAAAATGAGGCACTCTGAGGCGTTTTCGTTGGCCGCTGTTGAGGAAGCAGTTGACAACCCGGGCAGTAACAACGTAGGTAAGTAGCAAGCGTTGTAGAAAGATATGCGAGGTTAGGTTACAAACATAAAAGACGTGGATGTGAATTCGTCGAGCCGTGGGGAAAGGGGGGAAAAGGATGGGCCGGGGTAAGGTCGAGGTGTACTCTTTACCATACCTAGGCCTAAGCTGGGGCTGGGGGCCACGGAGGCCGTGGCCGTGGAGGCCGGAGTTGCAGCGGCCGGCCGGAGGCCAGAGGCCCGCGCCCGCAGCCCCAACGAGCCCAGGTCGGGGAAGTTGAAGGCAGGCGCCGCCACTGCGGACGCTCAGGCTGAGGCTGCAGTGCGGTGCGGAGGCCAGAGGCGCGCAGCCCCAACGAGGCCAGGCCGCGGTGGCCAGGCCGGGGCTCGATATTTGCATTTATTTCGAGTACTGATTCGAATTTTTTACAGGACCAGGAGTGTGCGCGAGGCCTGCAAGTGCGACGCCTTCGGCTTCTTCGACGACGGGGTCGGAAAGTAGCAGAGCCAGCGGCGAGCCGACGCGGAGGTCAGCATCGATGGTACGCTTCGTCGATCAACTGGGTGTCACCGAGAAGAAAACGCTGGACGAAGCGTTGGCGCGGGCGATGTACGCCAGCGGAACGCCACTGTCAACTTTCGAGAACCCCTATTGGAAGGCTTTCTTCGCCGCGCTGCGACCATCCTATAAACTCCCTTCGAGGACTCCCCTAGCCAAGACCTTACTCGACCGCGAGTTCGAGAAGTGCGTGTCCTCTAACAAGGCAAAGATTGAAAACGCTCAATTTTTAGGCATTATGACTGATTCATTCACAAATATTAGGCAAGAAAGCGTGATTGATATTGTTGTAACCACTCCTAGCCCAGTTCTCTACAAACAGATTTTCCGCCGGACTGAGAGGGAAACGGGGGAATTTGTAGGAGATGAAATTTTGAAAGTAATGAATGAAATTGGACCTGATAAGTTTTGGATATTTGTAACCGACAATGCTTCTAACATGCAGGTGGCATGGGAAAAAGTGACAGAGGAGTTTGGTCATGTCACTGCCATAGGTTGTGCCGCGCACTGTTGGAACTTGTTGTTTAAAGATTTAGTGGAGGCCATGTCTGTTGTAGATAAGTACATTAAGCACTCACGCAACATAGTTAGGAAAATTAAGAAAAGTTCTAACACTCTTGCAGTTTTTTCTGAAAAGCAAACTGAGAAGCATGGTAATAAGGGCATTTCTCTAAAACTGCCAGGAAAAACAAGATGGGCAGGGGCAGCCATTTTGTTGAACTCACTTCTACAAAACAAATCTGTACTCCAGGAAACTGTAATTAGTGAACAACTTGTGGACGTTATCGACGCCAAGGTGAGAAGGACTGTGTTAGACAGCAAGTTTTGGGATAGGATTAAATGTATCTATGATTTACTATCTCCACTGCATGCCGCTATCTCACTTATCGAAAGCAATAGAGCATTACTCTCTGATGTATATTATTTGCACAAGAAAATCAACGAATGTGTAAATTCTAATATTGCTAAGCTTAGGTTAAGTTCTTCTGAAAAGAAGGAAGTAAAGGATATTCTAGCTGACAGGAAAGGGTATACAATTGCGCCGATCCACATGGCTGCTTATCTTCTAGACCCGAGGTTCAAGGGTGAAGGCCTGGAAGACAAAGAAATTGCCGATGCAGTCGAGTGCATCTCGAAACTAGCGCGACACATGGGCCTGGATGAAGGTAAGGTCATCGCTAGCCTGGCCAAATACCGCACAGGGGTGGGCTTTTTCGCCACACAATCAGTATGGGATTCAGCCCTGCAGCTGCACCCAGCGGTTTGGTGGAGCGGAGTGTGCGCGACGGAGCCCCTCGCAGCCGTTGCTACCTGCCTGCTCACCATGCCGCCGTCCGCCGCAGAAGTCGAGCGCCGGTGGTCTGATCATGGTTTCATCCATAACAAGAGTCGCAACCGGCTGCTCAACACCAGGGTCACAAAGCTAACGACGGTGAGGGCTACTTTGGTTGCAGAGAAGAGTAAAGGAAAGAATGTAGACCCCCTGCCTGTCGCGGAACTTGAAGAATACTTCAAGCAATACGGCAGTCAGTACCTCGGCCAAGCAGGTGGTCACGGAGGTGGTGGTGGAGATGTAGGTGAGACTGAGACTGGAGACGGAGAGGCAGAAGAAGAGAGCGATGAAGAATCGGAAGATGAAGATGAGCACACGGATTGGGAGCTAGAGTCCGATTCCGGCTCCGGCAGCAACTCAGAGCAAGAGTTAGAAGAGCGTGAGCCAGAGAGGCGAACAGTGGCCCCTCAGCGTCAGCCCCATAGTCCAGTTGTGAACAGGACTTCAAACCAAGATCAACCACGGTCAACACAATCACAAACTCCCACTCCCACTGCTGCATCCACATCCGGGTCCCAGCCCCTGCGCAGAACCCGTGGCGCTACAGCAGCAGCAGTCGTCGCCACGGACAGCGGATCTAGACAAAAGCGCAGAAAGAAAAAGTAATTTCAGAGTAAACTAGCTGGAATAATTCTTGGTACTGAATTGAACTGACTCCTGATCTGACCACTGACTGATAATTTGTATTTTTGTTTTGTTTGTTAATGCTATTTGTCATGCCGCAGAGGGTAGATAAATGAATAAACTTTGCTCATATTCAAATGTGTCTGATTTATGGACTAAAACACATCTAAAAAGTTAAATTTCCATCAGAAACACAAGATTTTTAAAATGTACAGGAAAAAAATCGAATTTTACCAATTTTACCGTATTTTACCGTAATTTACGTAAATTACCGTCAACATTTAACTTTACCGTAAAAATCCATGTCTAGTGCCTCATGTGCCTACTTGCTTTATGGTATGCAGGGTGGGGCAGCGCGTCAGGTGCGCGACGCACATGGACTTGAGCATCGGTCAGATACTCACACGGGCTACTTGTTCTTACTTCAATAATAGAGTATTCTTTCCAACCTATCACGTTTTGTTTACACACTTTGTTTACAGTTCAAGTTTGCAAAATATATCCAAAATAAGTCCCAATTTGATGTTTCCCATTGAAAAATCGAATATTTTAAGAAAATTCCATTTGAAACAATAAAATTAGTGGATGAAAACTGTTGTTGTGTCAGCAGCTATTATAGAAAGGCAGGAGTTTGATTTGATTTTTAGTTTGATTTTTATAGCCAACTTCCAAAATCTGTTACACACTACCCCACGCTTACTTGTCACAGACTAGCTCAGGGTGGACGGATGCGCAGGTGGTTCAACAAAAGTGCTCTTCTCGGACCCCTAGAAACACAAGATTGTCGCACATACTGTGATTTTTATCTATCGTCCAATTATTGTGACAATAACGAAAATCCAAAAGTGGTGGCTTTTCCATAGTCCGACGATTGTTGCTGGTCTATCAAATTTAAACCATCTACAGTTCTGTTGTATACTGTAAAAAATCGCGGGTAACTTGGTGTGTCCTGAAAGTCGACAATTTTTTGAAATCTGGACTAGTAAACATGTTTTAGCGTATCAAATGAAGTCACAAGTATTCTTTACGCATCCATTTAGTTAATTTTCTATTCCACTGTACTCTAAAATTTATGAAAACAGTGGTAAACTTCTGAATTTTGTCTTAATTTTACTAAGGTGATATTTAAGGATACCTTTTGCATCCATAGTAGTAAAATTAGGTTCACTGTGGAGCTTGAAAATTACTCTTAGTGGATGGCGTTTTAGCAAGTAAGGGTTCACAGGGTTTAATTTTGCATATCCTGTGAACAGTGGAAACCACTCTATGGGGGTAGTATTTTGACTTTGCGTATCCACAGTAGTAAATTTATCCGGCCCACAGCCATAACCGGGCTGTGTCATATGATCGTCTCCCGGAGCCGCCTCTCGTAGGCGCCTCGATG